GTAGGGAAGCCCCAAAGCAGGAAGAGGATCTGCACAATTGAAACAAGGCAAAAGCTGGGAGACTCATTCGGCAGGATCACATCCTTTATGGAGCTTTCTTTTGCCAAAAAAAGGTGAAAAAAATGTATTCTTGAGAAGCGATGAAGTTAACGTCCTGGCAGCTGAGGAAGGGAACACTCCAAATCTTTGCCAGCCCCGAAGCCATGACCCTGAGTTTATTTCCATGTGTTTCGAGATGAAATGTTATTTTACACCGTGGATGTTTTTCGTAGCATAGATCTTGAGAGGAGTGAAATTCTGTCAAATTACAAACTTGGGGGTTAATGAATTAAATTACTTGGCTATGGCAGTATTTAGGTCATTACTGTGCAGATGTGACCCCCTCCTTGAAGAAATCGCCCCAGAAGTGTGGAAGTGGCATCACCAAACAAGAAGGCATCGTATCATGGCAGTGGGGCTTGATATCCAGCCTTAAAACAGCGGGCTGACTTTGAAAAAGCACTGAATTTGAGCCGATTTTGTGGTGGAGGGAACTATTGAGCCTCCCTTAGCTCCACGCTTTGCTAAGTCACAGAAAGGACCACCCGCACGGACACCTGCTCCTTACCCAACCCCGATTTCAGCCCCAGGCGGTGAGAACGACTCAGCTGTTCTTGCCGAGGGGCCAGTGAACTTCTCTTAGCAGTCATAAAGCGAATCCCCGGTGGCGTCAGGCAAAGCCGTTTTGCAATCGGTGCCTGCTTGGCCGCTTCTCTGCTCGCCTTGGAGCCCAGGAAGCCCAGGGTTGCTGCTGGGCCTCCGCAGGGTGCTGCCATGGATGGGGCAGGCGGGGTTTGGGAGACCCAGATGATCTTCCCAGCTCCTCCGTGAACATTCTGTGAACAACCAGACGATGTTTGAATATTTGATTTATACTTTTTTATTATATATTTATATTTGCTTTTCTGGTGTTTAGCATGAAGATAAAAACCTTTTCTCAGCGACAGTCGTTCCTGTTGTGCTTTGGGTTGGGGTCAGCATGTGGAGTGTCGTGATTTCCACACACCCCCCCCGCCGTGTTCCTGCGAGTCCGTGGTCACCCTCCAAACAGGGAAACGCCGTTAAGAAGCCGCTGAGGCTCCCGTATACCTTTTGGGGCAGTGAGAACATAGCAAATCCAGTTTCCTCTTTGCCCATAGGAGCAAAATAAGCTGTTATTAACACTTTTTATATATCTGTAGTTGAAGACCCTTTCAAAATTGTGTTTTATTGTGATAAAACGAGCGCACGCAGTATTTTTCCACAGTATCTGCTAGAAACCAAAGGCTCGAGCTGGAAATCTGTTTGCAGTAAACTTCAGTCATGGAATCGATGCTGTTTGCACTCCGTGTTAAATATGCATGTGTGCCTAGTATCAGAATTTAAGCTGGTAGCACTTGCAACAAATTATGAGCATATTGGATTAATGATTTTGTCTCCTCTTAATGTATTGTGTGGTTTCTTTCACCCTTTGGGGGGGGAAAAAGTGATTAGAGTAAATCACTGCTGATCTTAGAAATATTGTATGGTGTTTTCTTTGAATCAGTTGGCCAAGGAAATTAATGAATGGTGGAGTTGTTAACCTGCTTTTAAATTGAAATATAAATCCAGCTCAGAAGAGCTAGTAGTGCTGCAAGATTGCAGGAGTTGTCCTTTTGGATGAGAGACTGGAATTTTTGGCCTGTTTATGGTTACGGTCCAGATGATGGTTAATTCTGACAATACATCTTGAGAAGAATATGTTGAGAGCAACCTTTGCTCCTAGCCAATACTTGGTCTTTCAAAAAAATTCAGTTTCTGAAGGTTTTCTTTTGCCCTGCGTGATTCTTACGCTGTTGGTAATAAACTCCTTGCTATGGCAAGTACCATGTTGAGCTTGAATGAGCAACTTGTCAAACAATTACCGTGTTTTAATGTCGCACTAATGACTGTGTTACTACTGCATTGAAACAAAAAGTGGTTATATCAAGCTGAATCCTCTGCGAGGCTGCGGCCGCTTCGTTTTCCTGTGTGTAAAACCAGCACGTGAGAGGGAAGCGCATCACCCACGGCCAAATGTGCTCCCTATAATTTAGTGTTGTAATAGCCATTCGCTTATATTGCAGCCCAAACAGCTGTAACTGCACCAAAGACGTGGAAGAAACCAAAAGACCGGACCCAAGCCACTGAGGAGGTGATAGAGGTGGAAACAGAGGTAAGAGGGAACCACAGTCTTGTTTTATCCGAATTTAATGGTGATATTGCTCTCTTTAAACTGTATTTCAGCCACGTTGTTTCCTAGCTGTCTCACAGGCGTCCTGGTCAGCCTTTTTTTTTCAGGGGGAAACTGATATTCCCCAGCATTTTAGTCTGTTCCCTGTTGAAGCTCCTCAGTTTTCTTCCTTCTTGCCTAATTTAACAGCTCCCAACATTCAGGAACGTGTCACTGCTGCCCTTCCAGTGAAGGGCGAGATACAGGTGGGGTTAAAGCCCTTGGCGCTGCCCCGTTTGGGTCCCAGGCCACTGTGGTGACGTTTGCCAGGTTCTTCTGCTGCAGAGTGATGTCACAACCGCAGGTTAGTTTTCCTGATGGAGGAGCTGGGAAAGGAAGATGTTGAAGTTTTCAGGCAAAACCACCTTGACAGTAATTAGATGAGTAAAGTCTCCCTTGCTGCCCTTCTGGTAGGGACCTGCAGGAAGAACCTCTTTGTTTAATATCCTGGGTAGAATTTGGGGTTAGAATAGATCACAGAGGGGGTGAGAGAGTAAAAACGTAGAAATTCAGACTGCCCTGTGTGTGTATAAAAGCTGATGTTGTCCAGATGTGTCACAGAGAAGCATTGCTCCAAATTTTTCTTTCATTATTATTCCTCTGCTATTTCCTCCACAACTTTCCCTTACCACAAACATCGTTGAACCTTTCTGCTCTAAAAACGTGTTGTTGCAGAGTAAATCTTGAGTCCAGTGGATGGTACTTCATCCTTTGTACCGTGGTTTGTCCACTGAAAGAGCAGACAGGCTCGTTTACTCTCAGGAATACTCATAGGAATGGTATACAAGTGCTTTCCTCTCCGTTTCTGGGGGAGTAAATGCTTAAAATGCTCACGTGCAAGGTGTCACGCTGCGCTAGCTGGTCTGTATGCAATGGAAAAGCTGATGATTGGGTAATCCAAGGAAATTAAAAGCATCCCTGTGCTCGTTTTCAAGCAAAGGATGTTGCCGGGCTGCGCCAGCCAGCTTATTCTCTGTACGATTTCTTCATCATTTGGTGGAGGAGTCTCGTCTCCTGGACCGCTTGGTGTCTTCACCAATGCTAATTTTTCAGAGTATTCCCTTGAAAAATCTGCAACAAAGCGTTTTAGGATGCGGTGCCCTCAGGTAGGGAGGCGAAAGGATCGAGAGCCTCTTCCAGAGCATCCTCAATTAAGTCTTTCCTTCGTTTAGTGCTTAGACGTGTTGGGGTTTCTCCCAGGAGAAGCGCGTTCCTGACGCCGCCTCCGCCTGAGCGCAGAATAAGGCTGTGTCCTTGGAGAGCTCTAAAATTAACAGCCAGGGAAACTGTGAATGCTTTTTCCCAATGCTGAAATTGTAGCTGTATGTCACACTGGCTTCTTGAGTGAGATCTGCTCCGATGAGCAGCGACCATGTGAAGGAAGGATCCCCCTGAAATGAGCACTGCGTGCCCTTGGAGGTGGCTGGTGAGCTGCAGGAGAGAAGCGAGGTTGTCTTGCCAGGCTGGGATTGTTCGTGGCTGCCGCCCTGTAGGGCTCAGCAATTCCTTCCATCCGATCCCCGTAGCTCCCGGGGATTTCAGGGGCAGCACGAAGGCTTTCCAGTTGCGCCGTTAATTATCAGTGGGTTATGTCTGGGAACAAACTGATAAACCACACGGTGGTTCTGTGTGTTGGTCCGTGTCGCTGTTTAAGGTGTGTGTGTATTCCTGCTACGCGCAAAACCGCTGTATGAATAAATGAAGAGCTGGTTTGCGTGCTTTGAATTTCAGCAGGGCGTTTTTAACGTAACCTCGGTGTTTCTGTCTGTGCTTCAGCCTAAAGTAGAAGAGGAACTTCCAGGTGACAAAGTACTTGAATCTGAACAGGAGAAAATGAGCCATGGGTTTCAACCGGAGAGAGACCCCTCTGAGCTTAAAAAAGTGAAACCTGTGGAAGAAAACGGAGAGCAGGAAGCAGAACCTGTGCGGAACGGTGCCGAGAGCGTTTCAGAGGGAGAGGGAACCGATGCAAACTCAGGCTTCACAGAGAGCTCCAGTGAAGGGCCAGTGTACCAGTATAAACCAGGTAAATCCTGTTCCAGACTCTTGGGTTTTCTGCCTCCCTCCGTTGAGGGCTGCTAGCGCTCTGTGCATCCTCCCCACAGGTGTTTCTAGTGGGGGTGGAAGGGGGTACAGTGTTTCACCATGCCCATCTCCTCTGGGATCCACTAACCAACAGGCTCAGAGACACCTTGGGGAGCACGAGAGGAAAATTGTTTTTCTTTCGCTGGTGGTAATGAAGAGAAGAGAAGAGAAAATCCCCCATTCCCTGAATTTATTGCACGTGTGGATGTTGGCTGCAGCAGAGTGGAAATGGTGGCAAATTGGTTCCCCTGCGATCGACGGCTGAGAACGATCCAAGAAATTCCCCAGAAACAGACATACTTCTTAAATAAGAGATTTGAAGGTTCTGATTGGGTACATATGAGTATGTGTGTTGATACAGATTTAGTTTCCTGGCTAAGCAGTTGCATAGATCTTCAAGTTTCTAGAAGAGTAAGGAAAAGAAAAGAAATGGTTTGTGGTTTTCAATCCAGGCTCTGCTCTTGAACTGGGAGGCTGCAATTCTTTTGATAAAATAATTTAAGTGTGGGCTCACAGGATACGTCCTTTCATTGCTGGTTAGCACTGGAGAGTCTACCTCAGGGGTATTTCTGTTATTTATTAAGGTACTTAAATTGTAGACCTGAACCTCTATTGATTCACTTCATTAAGAGAGACCTTGAGACCCAACTTACTTCTTGGTTGCTGCCTATTTTAAGCCATTTCTTTTTCTGGTGAAGCTCCCTCAAAATAAATTAGTCATTTCCTTAAGAGCTCAGAAAATAAAAGATTATAAAACAAAACAAGGAGGGTTAGTGAGAGCCTGGACAAGGTATCGGGAAGGAGCACCACCGTTAAGTGATTACACTGCGGTTATTTCAGCGCTGCTTTGTTCTGACAAAGACCAGAGTTGCTTTACTTTTATTAATTTGATACTATCCTGTCGTTAGGGGGAAAAAACGTAGAGGCCTCTTGATAGTTTACCACACCCTTACGGTAGCTTACCAGTTCATTAGTTAAGCACATCTTGAAGTTAATCCATAATTCATCAGCTGTCTCTCTGAAACACTCGATGCAGTCGGAACGATCCCGGTCAGATCTGGACTCCTTTTGCTCAGCTGGGGGGGCTGGATCGATCCCTTGGAAAGCAACACGCGTTGGCCTTGCTGCTGCAAAGCAGACCTGGCCACTTGGTGCAATAATCCTCGATTTCAGCTCTGCTTTTTGTAAAAAGAGGCATTTTTGCCTTTTGGTCCACCATAGGAGGAATTGTGTGTTATATCCCAGTCTCCCCTCACTGGGGATCCAGAAGGCCTGCCTGTGATGCTGCCCAGCTGCTTTTCACGTTAAAACAGCTTGTTAAGATCCTTCCAGGAGAAGGAAACTGTATATATAAACTGTTTCTTGCTGCTGTCGGTGCTTTTCCATGATAAATGGAGGGTGGTGTGGCACAGTGGATAGGCAGCTGGCTGGGAATCCTGGCTGGGACACAGCTAGCCAGCCAAACCACTTTCTTCACCCCTTTACCCGAAGCTCTGTAGGAATAACGCTGCACAAAGAGCTAAAAGTTGTAATTCCTTTGGTGTATTTTCAATCCCAGTTATTAAAATCCATCACTGGAAATAAATTCCTTTTCGTGGCCTCTGCAGGGATGAGGACGATGAGAACCCAGAGGCCTAAAGCTGGTGATCAGGGACTGAAATAAAAAAATAATAAAATACCTCAACAGCAAACCTGAGCGGCTGGATAAATGCAAAGCAGCGCCGTTTGGCGTCGGTGAAATACAAAGGCAGCATCTCGTACAGATGTTTTCCTTCAGATAAAAACGTGCTGCCCACTGAGGGCCCTGACTAGCCAACCTGCCCGCTGAGCAAGTGCCTGCTGAGCAAGTCCATGTTTTCTCTCCCAACTTCAAACAAACTGGGCGGCTGGCAAAGAAAATCCTGTCTCTAGGCTACTGGATGCTAATTTTCCTTGCGCCGAAACGGCTGTAGGTTTCTATTTGGATTTGCATCAGGCAAGGTCCTCCACGCTGCAGTTCTTCTGCCCAGAAAGCCCGCTGAAAAAAGGGGTGAAAAGTTGGAATTTTTAGAGCGTGGCCTGGGGTTGTGTGTTTTGTTTCGGTTCCCACCATTATTTCTGGCACAGGTTGGTAAAGACTCGGTGTTTTCACGTTTTCAAAGGATCTTTTTGTTCCGTGCGGTGCTCTCCTCGGCTCAGCTCTGCGTTTATTGCTCTGTCGTACACAAAACCAGCCACTTTAACTTGGCATTTTCACGCAGAAACTGGGAATCATCCCCATTTTGTCGTATCACACACGAGAGCGAAGGTCAGAGTTAAAATGAGATGATGTGGGTTAAAACTGGAATTAGTGATGAGTTCCGTGTTCGGCTGCTGCTGGCGTTGGCTGTACGCTCCCCATGGTTTGTGTTCCTTTCAGGCGATGTGTGTTCCTCTCCTCGCTGCCTTCAAAGTTAAAATAAAGTAAAATTAAAAATTCCCAGGCAGCTGTAGCAATCTCTTCCCTTTGGATTTACCAGAATCCCATCTCAGAGGGGGATCTCGGGTTTTGTTCCCTATGAATCTCAGGCACCTTCTCTCCTTATAGAGCAGTGGAAGCCCCTGGACCCAGAGGGGAAGAAGCAATACGACCGGGAATTCTTACTGGATTTCCAGTTCATGCCTGCCTGTATCCAAAAGCCGGAGGGGCTGCCTCCCATAAGCGATGTGGTTCTCGACAAGTTGAGAGGAGAGCCCATCAAGCAGGTGCGTGCGATTTCTTTATATTTTTTCTTAAATAACTGCAGATCCCTAAGGCATGCTTTATTTCTGGAGTGTTTCGATGCACATTTTTGTCGGGAAGGGGAACTGTTTGGCCGATATCACATCAGAAAATTCCTCAAATAGAGGCGTTGGTGCCTAATGAATGTGCACAGATGATTTAAAAACAGAAGTGTTTTTAATGGTTTCTGTCTGGATTAAGTTATACCAGGGGTTATTAAAATTTAAAACGATACGGCCACGAAAACCGAAGGGCGTACGCAAAGCAAGACCGAACAGAAAGGCAGCGTCTTTTATTAGATCAATTCTGCACAGGCAAGCGTTTGGGCAAACTCTGGGTTTGGTCTGAAACAGTTGTGTGGCTATTTATGAGCTGATCTAATAAAAGATCTTTAAAACCTTGACTCTCGAGCAGTTTTGTGATTTCTATCCAGCCTTATTACAGTCGTGATTTTCTCTGCTGTGTGTCTGCGCTTATTGAAATACTTGTTATTCTGAAGTGCTGACACCAAGACCTTGTTCTCATCAGGCTTGGAACCGCGTAGTTCATTGATTTGGATGGAACCACTGCAGACTCGCTCCTCAGAGTCGAGCACAGATCAGGATATAGGTGATCCTCACGTGCAGAAACATTTCCACTCTGAATTTCATACCCAGATGAATTATAAAACACAGCTTTGTTCCCAGAACCGTTTCATCCACCTACTAGTTTTCCGTGATTGCTTCTCACTGCTCTGTCTGCTTTTGAGCTTCCTTTGCTCGGTCGGCCATCTGTCTCGTTAGCACAAAAGACATTTGTTTGAGGGAAGGTGGCAGTTTTGTGATCCTGAACCAAGACTATCACATTCGTTTTGCAGAAGACGGGCCCACGTTGCTGTAATTTTATCCTCCGTAAGTCATGTTCAGCGTTGAAATGTTTCTGAACTCCACCTATTTCCTCAGTAGTCACCTGCAGAAGGCATATTTTAAATTGAATGCATATTTTTAGTGCAAGCATGGATGCGTAAAACTTGCACTAAGCTTGTTAAAAAGCATTTATTTGGATATCAGATGTGACTGTTAGCGTTTAGCAGAGACTGTCTGTA